AAAATATTGATAAAAAATATTTAAATACCAAAGAGTAAGAAGTTCATAAATTATTTGGGATTTTCATGGATTTAAATTATTTTTGGAACCATCAGAAATGTCAGCATATATTATGCAACAATATTGAGCATTAGAAAGAATTTTATAGGAGCTCAACAACAGCAAAATAAATAAGAAAGGAAGAGAAACGAAATAAAATGATACTTTTATAAAAATACCAACTGAAATAATACTAAAAAACAGATGCAAGTTCGTAGAATTTATTTTTATAAACAAGATGTTGTGGGTTTTCTATGATTTTACTGTAAGAAATTCTGTAGGAAAGAGACACACAAATCTTATAAACTGGGTTACTTGAAATCTTTCTTCTTTTCCGTAACACTGCACTTAATAAAAATAGTGTACTCTCGTAAAAGAGAAAATTCCATGCAAATCTAGCCCTGAATAGCTTCAAAAAATTGGTTTTTCAATTGCATGATGAAATGCAGTTAAGATATCCTCACATTCGCTTATGTATGCCTGACTGCATCATATAATCCCTAGAAATCACTTTATTCACGCAACATTGTTGTGATTGTGAACGTATTTTTTGATACCCTCTTTGTTCTACAAAATTGATTGTGTGCAGAACTCAGTTCAATAAATAAGGACTCTCACATAAAAGAAATTGAATTATGTGCCTCCAAAGGTAAATATATTCAAATAAATCAAGTACGAATATAAAAATCCAAGTTTTATTATTGTATGAATAACAAAAGCGTACTTCAAAAAAGAAATTTCATTGCCATTTTTAGAACTTATCAAAAAGAGATTTGAATAGTTCTATGATTTTATTTCTGAATATATAAGATATTTTTCTATAATACTGGGTAGATAGGTAATATATCACACAGCTGATATGATTTCTTTGGAAACTTTTTTTTGGAAAGTATTTTTGTAGAGAACAATATGTATAATGAATAAAAAATTTTCGTTTGAATGATCCTAAAATAGAAATCGAATTTAAAAGCAACCTATGCAGAATTGAACACATGGAATTTCAATTCCTTACGTATTTCAATTTTTATAAGTTTATCATTTGTTTGTTTAATTTTTATGCGGATATATTTCTGAAAATTAATTCAAATCAAATTACAAAAATACTAAGATATTTTAGAATTATTTTCACTTTTAGCTTATTTAATAAATATGAAAATTAATGTACATTTGAACATAATACATGTAGAAAGAATAAAATGTGTGTTTTTTAAAATGATTTTCAAAATTTTTTTGATAAGAATCAAACTTTATGATTGAAATATAAGGGTTGCCCAAATGAAAAGTGGACAAATTCAATTACTTCAGAGTGAGTGAAGCAATAGCAGAGCCACTAAGCAGAGACACGAAGGACAGTAGGAAATGTATACATTGCCTGCAATTTTAAACTCTGAAACCTGTTAGTGGTAGAGGAAATTAATCGAAAGCAAAGTCGTGCCATATAAGGATGCGTCCAGATTGGAACAACGTGCGGTAGTACGGTCACACTATTTGGGTGAAATGTCTTGGAACAGTTGGTGTAAAAGTTTTCAAGAAGGGAAACAAATGAAATCGGATCTCCATGACAATGTCCACCCAAACTTCTATGAAACCAAGGCAACTAAAAAATCTGTTGGGGAGGGTTAGAACACCTCCCCATAGAGTCTGGATTTGTCTCTTTGTGACTTCTAGGCTTTTATGCCACCGTATTACGTTTCTGTTTACCCGATGAAGTGAAGGAAGCTGTGTGGGCCGGAGTTCCTCAAAAATCAACTTTGTTAACAACTACGTTAAAATAGAAGATACAGACCTGCTGCCAAAACGATAGGACATGTATTACAACCCCCAGAGCGTTATCTTTTGTTTTCCAATAAAATCTTTCTTTTTATTGAATTTGTCCACTCTTTTCATTCGGGTAATTCTTATAGATGAACACCTTTCTGTTTATGAAGATCACATATTCAACAGAAATTTAATTAAGGGTTATTGCTGTGATAGTGGCAATGAAACTGTATCCCAATATATGCATTTTGTCTTCAGGCATTATGTAGACTTTTCTAGTTCTTGTAATTTTGTCTAAAATTTCTAAAACTGACACACGAGCTCCTATGTAGAGACTCGAGAAATTCGAAAAAAAAAAAAAAATGTCGGGATTATCGCAATTTTTTTTTTTATAATTATTACTTAATTTTGATTCCGTACTCAAGGAAAACAGTTGCATAGAGATATAGAGATTCAATAATATGGAATACATGGAAATAAGAATTAGTTTTTTTAGGTAATTAATTATCGTAAAATTGTTAAAGAGCATTTTTTGAGAGGCTTATGTTAGGATAATAATATTTGTTTTTACGAACTTTTTCAATCAATCCAAGAATTTATTTTCTTTCTCTCTCTCTCATCACTATAAAACCAAAAATCAATTAAAAACATTTAAAAAAATTAGCAGCAGGCTTTCAGTGATAACTGATATATGTAGTTATGATAAATAAAATAATTATGATCAAGTCTACGATGGAAATAAAGCTTAAGAAAATCCGATTTGGACTAATTAAAAATTACTCTGGTTTTTCCGATTATCTGAAAATCATCTCATGATTATAACGGTTTTTCTCTAAAAATATTGAAATATTACATGCTTTTAAAAGGAAAATATCCACACTATTGCAGGGGTGAGTGGACTTTTCCAGGGTACTAGCTACTTCTTAAGTTTTTAAGGTGTTACAGTCCACCTAGTGGCGTAGGTGCGGCTATTCAATATTAAAACTATATGCTTTATTTTCTAAACATTTGTTTTCTACATTGTACCCCTCTTTTAAAATATGAAAGATTACTACTAAACAGTGGGGGAGTGGACGTATTCAATGCAGGGAGCAGATAACATACTACAACCGATGAATCAAACCGATGCATGTAGTCAATTTATCCAATGCCGATACGAGAACCCAATGCCGTGGAAGCGCGGGTTGTGGGATGATGTCCACTAGCCAATCCTGCGCTATCGCGTGAAAAGCTGATCATCTACATTTATTCTCCCCATCAGTCTTCTTGTGGGGAAAAAATCATTTCTTCAACTGGCATCACAGTGATTGCCTTTTCCCCCTGCAGCGTCAATGAACGCGTTGAGTGTCATCGTATGCTTCCAATGTGAAGGTACATGTATCGTCAACACATTTATCGAATCATTTACTTAAGTAAACACAGTTGCATCCAATGTGACAAGCCGATTCTCCAGTCTAGTTAGCGTCAGTGTTCCATAAATGATTCTTTTAGTAAGCATGTCTTAAGTCCTAGTACAGGCGGTCACCCCAAAATGTCTTGGTAGTTCACCGGTTGATCGCGATCGACTTAATGCCCATCCCGGCACTATTGTATAAAAATCTCATTATCTTTTTAACATTATATAATTTAAAAGTCCAGCTATTAAAATAAGTTCACGTAAGAGTGTGATACCACCCTTCCCCCTTTGGATGACCGTATCTTTGATTGTCAGCGTGAGCTAGAGGTGTAGAGTTTGCAAAAGGAATAGACATTTTTAATTCTTAATCTGACTTTATTAAGAATGGAACTTAAATGTCTAACAATTTAGATAATATTAATTAAGCGAGAATCTAGAATGAACAAACACACAGTAATAGTTAAACCGAATCGCGTAACTTAGACCACTATAATTATTTAATCCGCCTACTCTCACTTATAATATTACGTCCTAATAACAAATAATCAATCCTACCTTAATCCAAATTTAGATTCAATCTTATGAAGAAACATCTGGGCGCGCGTGCAATGGTATGCACCTTGACTTAATGGCTTATCTCTTCCAGGTAACTTCACAAATGGCTGTCAATTCACGCTTGTATGTCTTTCAGTCATAACATTCCCCAAAATGCCATTTAACTTACTGAAACTTCTGTTATTTAAAAGCTATCTTATTTGCATTTCTTTTTCACATTTCGCTTCTTGGGTTTTGGTTGGAAAATAGTTGCCATTAATCTTGGCCCCCAAAGAACCCAGAGGTTATGTTAAAGAAAAGACGCGTGAGCCTGTCACAAGAGGAGCAACATTCTGCATAAAATTTGTTACTTAGATGAAATGGTTGTTATCTATTCTGAATCTGCTTTAATAACCAGCTTAGATGGTCACCTCATCTCTTGACCATGGTTCTAAATTGAGTTCCATCATCAATAGCTTCGAAAGGAGATGCTGATAGACAAGAATTTAATCAAAAGTATTTGATTTAAGAGT